TTAAATGCATATTACTAATTGAAAGAAGCCAATCTAAAAAGGCTACATACTATATGATTACAACCATATGGAATTTTGCTCTTGAACCATGTGAAGACACAGCATTTCCAGCCTTCAGAACTGTGAGAATACACATTTCCGTTATTTATAAACTATCAAGAAAGGAAATCTAGGTGGCAGATACCTGACTATTCATTTTAAAATTCAACTTTGATAAAAATTTGAATATTTTCTTTCTTTTTTTTTCAAGAGACAGAGTCTCACTTTATTGCCCTCAGTAGAGTGCCGTAGCATCATAGCTCACAGCAACCTCCAACTCCTGAGCTTAGGCAATTCTCTTGCCTGTAGTCTCTAGCTAGGACTACAGGCGTCCACCAGAACACCCGGCTATTTTTTTGTTCCAGTTTGGCCAGGGCCAGGTTCGAACCCACCACTCTCGGTATATGCAGCCGGCGCCCAACCTACTGAGCCACAGACACAGCCCAAAATTTGAATATTTTCATAATAAAAAGTTAGACAAATGTAAAACCAACAGCATGTGGTTACTGAGTGTTATATTGGGCAGAAGGAGGTAAGGGAGGGGATCAGAGTCAAGTAATCAAAGTTAAGATATTGGGTAAATTAGCTGGAAATGATACCACTATTAACAAAATAATAAACCACGGATAAAAGTCAACGTTTTGTGTAGCCTGGGGAAAAGAAAGGAGACAAATATGAGGCATTTCATTTAGACATTTTAAGTTTGAAATGAAAGTAAAAAAGCTCAGTAAAAATGTTAACTGCAACTTCCCAGGCCAAGGCTAGCTAAATTTAGAAATCAACTACATAGAAGTAACAAAGTTTAAAGGCAGGGAAAAGTTGAAGAAAATCTTGGTGACTACTTTTAGGGGCTGGGAAAAACCTCCAAATGGAATAGAGAAGTAGCTAGGAAAATCAAAGGGATGTTATAGCAAAGGAAGTATAAATAAGCTACAAACAATTTTCAACTAAATTCTTTTTTGAGAAATATAGCATTGCCAAACTGAGAGGTAACAGAGAGCTTCCAATGGAAGACTATCTGGTTGTTTAAGAAAACAAGAGAGTGTGGCTAAAATCCAAGGCAGACCAGACCTCTAAAGCCACTAAGTTTTGTAAGAGGGACTTTACTTAACAAAACGCAATCAGTGTAACCTGGTTTCTTGTACCCTCAATGAATACCCAACAATAAATTTTAAAAAAAAAACCTAAGTTTTTAAAATTCAGTTGGAATCCTAAATAGCAAAGACTACAAAAAATTTCCTAGACTTGCGGAAAGAATTTAAGAAATGAGGAAAATTTTAATACTGATATCTCCTTTTCCAGAAATATAGTTAAGAAAAGCAAAGGTATCCAATTGAGAACCTTCTTTAGGACAGCAGCATGAGTCAACCATCTACCTGTTGATTATATATAAGACATTTTAACTTTTAATTGCTCCTTTCTTCAATCACTTATCTAGCATTAAGCTTTCAAGTCAATTTTCTTTTTGTTCCCTAACCCATCCTCCCAGAGTCAGCCAAAAAGAGATGTGCTCTAAAGTTAAAAAAAAATCTCAGACCTAAACAACTCTCAAATCTAAACAATTATCAAAACCTACTTACCTTGGGGAAGATCCCTGCCATTCGGATCACAGGAATAAGGTGGAGGTGGTGGTGGTAAGTTTGACATATCTCCCATATCAGGAGGCGGCGGCGGTGGAGGAGGTGGTGGTGGTGGCAGAGGAGAGGCAGCCGCAGCAGTTATAAGAGCAGAATGGTATGGAAAGGATGGTGAAGCAATCACTGACAAAAACAACAACAACAAAAAAAACAAAGTAGCAATTCACAACTCCTTATAAGCAAGCAGTGGTTTATTTTCTTACATCCCTGGTATGGTCAAAGAACTCTTTGTTTTGACTTAACAAAAACTTGGAAGGTGAATTGCCCATATTCTTAGATACTGCAGTTGAAAACTGGTTCATTACAAGTCATTTTGAGTTAAAAAAAAAAACTACCAGAAATTAAAAGGAAAAAATGGGAAGTGGCAGACCTTTAACTATTAGACTCTGACACTTAGCTAACAGGTACATAAATAAAACTCCATTGAAACAAAAATTTTACTTAGCTTAATACCCAAGGCAAATTTAAGAATGCTTTCAGCAATCTGTCACAGTCAAATCACAAGTTGCAGAAGCTAATAAGAGATAAACCAAACCTGCAGAGATTATATACGTTAGCAATCCTTGAAGGTTTCTTTTACTGGTAGTATCTGAGAAATGTAGGAAACTCTATATCATGTCAGTTCTATTTCTAAGGAGGTACAGAATCTGAAATAAAAGAGGCTAGGTACAATTCAGAGTGTCCCAAACATTGCACTTAAAGTTGCCATACATAGAGAAAATGAAAACTGTAGCTAAATGTACCTTTATTTACAAAATATTCATTAGAAAATTTTACAAAGAGGTGGCCAACGCGTAGAGAATATTTTGTAAATAAAAGTACATTTAACCCTTGAAACTTAACTGAATCATTTTAGACAATAATTCAACTACCAAATTTCATCATTGTATTATCTGCACTATTATTTTAACCTTGAGAAAGTATAGAAAGTTTAGAATGATTATTCAATAAAGGTCTGAATTCAGAGTTTTAGCATACTGAATGGTATAGGGATAGTACATACAAGCTGAATTTGTTATTCTGGTAATTTAGCAAGAATAATCTACATTGTTTTATTTTCTAAAAAATACTAAAAATATATTCACCGGTACCTTTTATACAGTTATAGACTAATAATAATAGGAGATCTGTGGCTTAGGGTGATCTAAAACTTGATAAACAGTGTTTTAGGGGTGATGAAATTATTTTCTTGATTGTGGTAGTATACAACTCTATGCATTTGTCAAAATTCATAGAACTGGGCACCAAAAAATGTATTACAATGCATCTAAATTAAATGATACATTTTTAAAGCTTACGTAATTGTTTTGGACCTTTGTCATATATTTAGAAATCTCTTTTACAGGTTGGGAAAAGGAATTTAATTTTCAGAATATCTCGAAATGCTCTAGATCCATGTATTGTTTTTAATAAAATAATAGCTTCTCCAACAAAGCTCTACTCTTAATCTTTTTAAACTAGTACTCAAAACAACATTTTTTAAAAAAGCAAATGAAGTTAATTAGCTAAAGGCAGGAGAATGTGATTATGACTATATAAAATAAAAATCAATTATTATATACAGAGGTAATTTAAATAAATTCTCATGGGCCTAAGACAATCAAGGATAGAAGAAATTTGAAGGTCACTTAGAAACCACCTTCCTTATAAATGCATAGCATTACAATAAGCCACCTAAGAAAAAGCTTGCATTATGTTAAGTTGCTAGAGTTGCTTTTATAACTTCAAGATGTTATACGTGAGCATCTCACCCTCAGACTTAAAGGGCTCTGTAGACTTAACAGAGTTGGAAGGATGACTCCCAATAGTAGAATCAACATTTTCTAAAATATTAGTGGAAATCAATGTAATGCACTCAGAATGCTGATCTCCCCATCCATGCAGTCTGTTTCAGGTCACTTCAGAAGAGAACATTAATATATAAAAGACTCTGCTTCTCTAGAGATCAAAGAGCAGGGCCAATGGCAGGCACCTATAGTCCTAACTACTTGGAAGGCTAAGGAAAGAGGATTACTTGAGCCCAAGAGTTTGAGATTGCTGTGCACTATGATGATGCCACAGTACTCTACACTCTACTCAGGGTGACAGAATAAGACTGTCTCAAAAAAAAAAAAAAAAAAAGGCAGGGCGAAAACTAAGGTGTGATGAGGCACTCCCGTGCAAAACCTAAAGGGCCACCAAAACTAATGCAAAAAAATCTATGATAGATAAAATATCAAAATTTTCAATAAAGATAGGTTCAAACTCTGTATTTATATGACCCGAAGAGTAAATGCTTCACTCAACTCAACCTAAATTTAGCCCACTGATCATGTCTTTCTTGAAAATTGATACTTTGGGCTAGGCATGGTAGCTTACAGCTATAATCCTAGTACTCTGGGAGGCTGAGGCAGGTAGATTGCCTGAGCTCATGAGTTCAAGACCAGCCTGAGCAAAAGCCAAGACTCTGGAAAACAAAACAAAACAGAACAAAAACAAACAGCTGGGTGTTGTGGCAAGCACCTGTAGTCCCAGCTACTTGGGAGGCTGAGGCAAGAGAATAGCTTTGAGCCCAAGAGTTTGAGGATGCTGTGAGCTATGACAGCAAGCACTCTACTGAGGGCAACAAAAACTGACTCAAAAAAATAAAATAAAATAGATACTTTGTTCTTCTTGGACTTTTCTGCAATAATCTTGATTTTTTAAAATAATGAATTAAAGTGAACTTTTGGTACATACCACCCCTTTGAATCTTACACTTGGGGCAAATGAGCAACTAGTACCTATCCAGAAAAAGCCTTGGGAATAGTTACCAAACTTCAAAGTTGGAAGCTGTTAGGATTTAATGCCTATGAGGAGAATCCTAAAGGAAATCATCTCACCTAGTTATTTACTGTCAAATTAGCAGTAACTTAAAGGAGGATGAAAGGGGCCTTCCAGAGAGATACATGAACAACAAAGTCGGGGAAAAAAGAATCAGTTGTTTCATCTAAAGAACTGACATAAATGACAAAGAAAGACTAAAAAGCAGCCATATCTAGTAAAAGAAAACTGAAGTTTACAAGCATCTCAAAGGAGAGAAAAAAATGTAAAATAAATGAAGTATACATGTACATATTTTCAAAAAATCTGGCATTTAAATGGTAAGCTTTCAATTATTCCAAGTAAATGAGACATCACAATGGATAATTCACCTGTCACTTGATTTTTTTTTTTTTTTTTTTGTAGAGACAGAGTCTTACTTTAGCCCACGGTAGAGTGCCATGGAGTCACACAGCTTATAGCAACCTCCAACTCCTGGGCTTAGGCGATTTTCCTGCCTCAGTCTCCCGAGTAGCTGGGACCACAGGCGCCTGCCACAATCCCCGGCTATTTTTTTGTCGCAGTTTGGCCGAGGCCGGGTTTGAACCCGCTACCCTCAGCATATGGGGCTGGTGCCCTACCCACTGAACCACAGGCGCCACCCATCACTTCAATTTTTTAAGCTCAGATGTCTGCCAGAAGCAGCAGACAACCAATGTTTTCCCTATTAACCCAAAGTAATAAAATCAGGGTGTATACTAACATTTCCAATGAAAAAAATTCTAACATTAATTAACATTTATGACTTTTTTTTACAGGCACTACATGGAGAAAACAAAATGAATTAATCAATTATTTTAAGGTAGATACTATTTAGGTCAATCAATAAAACTTAAACAGTCACCCCAGAAAATTCCCATTTACCCTATACCAATTATAGCCTTCTCCTTTCCACCATAATTTACCATTATTCTGACCATAACAGTAATTACTTCCTTGTGTTTTTTAAAGAGTTTTGTCACTCAAATATGTATCTCTTGACAGTTTTTTAATTTTACCTTTTTAAAAACTGACTTATCTAGAATTTCATTGAAATCAATGTAACCTGGTTTCCCATACCCTCAATGAATCCCCCCCAAATAAAAAGAACAACTGGTTCTGAGTATAGAGATAAAAGAACCTAATGTCATTATTGAGAGCATTAAAAAAATGTTTTTTGCATATGTTCTTTCAATTCTATCATTTCTTAAAATGGCTATATCTACATTTTGTCTTAATTCTATGGATAGCTATATGCTGATGTCTCTAATTGCTTTGGTAATATACAACTCAAAATTCAAACTCATTCACTCATTGTCCAATATGACTTTCTATAATGGTAAAAATATTCTATATCTTCTTGCATAAAATGATACTGCCAAAGTTTGATAATTATTTCTGCTGTTCTAGATAGATACTCAAAATAACTTTTTCTAGTTCAGTAATTTTGCTAGAATATTCTGGTGTTGGTTGTTTCTCGTTAATATTCTCAGATATGCTGCATGCTGTTTCACTATGTACTTTTAAAGTTTTAAAAACTGTAACTTTTCATATTGGTTTTGTTCTCTTACTTTGGTCTTCTTCAGAGACTTCTTTTTTTATTTATTTTTTTTGAGACAGTTTTACTTTGTCACCCTGGGTAGAATGCCCTGGCGTCACAGCTCACAGCAACCTCCAACTCTTGGGCTTAGGCAATCCTCTTGCCTCAGCCTCTTGAGTAGCTTGGGCTAGACACTCGCCACAACGTCCAGCAATTTTTTGTTGCAGTTTGGCCGGGACTGGGTTTGAAACCACCACCCTTGGTATATGGGGCCGGCGCCCTTCTTCAGAGACTTCTAACAGTGTTTGATCCCCTTTGCCTAATTTCAAATCTTTATAATATTTTTTCCACTGTAGGTTTGTCTTTTTTTTATTAAATCATAACTGTAAACATTAATGCATTTATGGGGTACAATGTGCTGATTTTACATATAATTTGGAAGGCTTCCATCAAACTGGTTAACACAGCCTTCACCTCGGTTATTGTGTTAAGACCTTTATACTCTATACTTAATAGATTTGACATGTACCCTTGCAATATGCACCGTAAGTGTGAAGGGGGAGGGGAGGGAGGAGCTTGGATGGAGAAAGAGTAATAGGTTTTCCCTTTCTTACATCCTTATTTCTCTTAAAGCATTATCTGTTGGGCATACAGGCTGAATATGACTAATCTGAGTATCTGAAAGCTAAAGCGTTCCAAATTTTTTTTTTTTTTTTTTTTTTTT